AAAGTTAATAATCTAGACATCTAAGATGAACCCTTAGTTACTTTTAAATTTGGATGATTATGATGAAAATAGAATTGAAAGCAATCTATACATAGCTCCTACGTGATTTTAAAAGAAAAGATTTTCTAAACAATTTTGTGTTTTGAAAACATAGATTGAGTCTTTATCGGACCCTTCTTGAGTAATACCCTTTAATGCTCAAGTGGACTAGTTTTTGCTTGGTTTCATTAGCCTTGGCTAGATCGGTGTCATGATAACTTAGGAAATTAGACGGAAAAACAATACAAAGCTCGCTCGAGCGATCCTTCATGGTCTTTCGAGCGGTGTTCATGGTTGCTCGAGAACTGCTGTTCCTGGACATAACAAAAACGTAATTTTCATTCCAGTGTCAATTGTCCTCTTGTCGATCAAACAGTGATTCTCGAATTTAAGTTTTCTTAAGACTACTCTTATTTCGGTGCTGAAGATCTTGATGATGAAAATCATACCCATTGGTGTGTGCATATCTATTGTTGGTGTATCCATGACTACCCGAGGCCTAGACGAACTATGCAATGGGGAGGTGTAAGTGAAACTACACTAGATGTTAAAAGAGGGTCTTTGACGAAGAGACAACAAGGAAAATAGTATCTAACCATAGTATTGGTTGAGATATAAGACTAGACTACTTATATGTTGACTTATTGAGTAGTGAATTAGGTTTTGATAAACTGAGAAGATTCCCTGTGATTTTTTCTAAGGAAGGTTTCCGCGTCAACAAAACACTTGTAAATTAACATATTTCATATATACTTATGATTGTTTACACAAACGCACACTATGCGTTTGTTTATTTGATTGATTGATATATATTCAATCATAGTATGAGATTTGGTGTCACCGTGAGATTAGTTACGAGTGAATTAATTAAAGATTAATTTAATCAATCGTCATGTACAAAATGAGTTGTGGTCCCTAAAGGAGTTCTCATATTATTTCCTAAATCTTTGTGGGAAGAGGTAATTGTGATGGTTTAGGTTTTTATTAGTAATTAATTGGGCTAAAATTAAAAAGTCTATTCATCCCCTAGATAAAGCGTTTATTGCTCCATGTGTATATTCGTAAGGGAAGATCCACATCATATTCCCCTCCTGTAACAACACATACATACTTAAATCATTCCAAAAATCACAAGCATCCTAATCCAACTTTCTATTCTACATATTTTACATCAAACACCCGAAAATCACAGAGATTCAGATGGTGTTTAGGCATCCAACACAACCAAAAAAAAAATCTTACCAATTTAATACTGCACCGAAGACAACCACTAATCTCCTAAGTAGCACTGCCTTTCTCATGGATTGGAATCGAATAAATCAGTGGCGGAACTAGAAATTTAGTTTATGCTAGACACTTCAATTTTAAAATTTAATTAATATCTTTCAATCGATAAAAGTGTAATGATAAATTAGACAGAGGTCAATTGTTAAAAATAAAAAATTAATTGTAGGTAAATTATAAGTAATTTCATGTTTAAATTAAGAGTACAAACAAAAAAAATTATAAATTATACTAAAAAATATATCAATCATAAAAAGTTCTACCACAATAAAATACACTAAACCAGGAACGCTCATAGTTTAGAAAGAAAAAAAAATCGTTAGGCAAGAATTATGAGTAAAAAAAGGCTAAAATTTAGTCAAAAAATCCATATATTAATCCTACTTTTGATTCAATATATTAATCCTAAAAATTAGCAAAAAAAATCATATAAAAAGACGTTAAAAGTTATAAAAATAATCCTATATTTTATCACCTAATAATCCTACTTTTGATTTAATATTTAAAGAAGTTCGTAATTTTTTGGGACAATTTCAGTCACACTCCTCCTAGTTTATTATATCTTCAAGGACATCTCATCTATTATCAAAAACATCACTAACACCCCCTACCATTAAACTACCATTTCTGACAAAAAAATATTCATTTAAAATACCAAAAATACCCCTACATAAACCTCAAGTAATTTTTCTACATAAAATTTTATTAAAATTCGAACCGATTAAAATTTATTTTTATACATATTAAAATTTGAACCAATTAAAATTCAATTGAAGCTGAATAAATTTTATTTTTTTTCACACATCAAAATTTGTGTCTATTAAAATTTATTTTTTACATATTAAAATTTGAGTTGATTTAAACTCTATCCGAATTGTTAGCATTGATTACAATTCGCTTTCGAGTTAATTAAAATTTATATTTTTTTACTTATTAAAATTTGTGTCAATTAAAATTCGATTTATTTAAATTTAAGTCAATTAAAATTTATATTTTTTTATGTCTTAAAATTTAGACTGATTAAAATTCAATACGAGTTGATTAAAATTTGATTTGAGTTGATTAAAAATAAATTTTAATTGGCTCAAATAGAATTTTAACTAGCCAAAATTTTAATACGTAAAAAATATAATTTTTAATTGGCTCAAATTTTAATCTGTAAAAAAATAAATTTTAATTAATTTGAATCGAATTTTAATACTTAAAAAAAATAAAAAAACAGAGGGAGTCTCATTGAAGATATACTTACCTAAAAGGGGTGTGGATAAAGTTTGTCAAATACATCATTGGCAATTTAGTAAAATTTCATTCTAGTTAATATTTTTAATCTTACAGGTGGTGTCACTAAAAATTCAAAAAATAGAGGGGGTATCCTTGAAAATATGGTAAACTAGAAGGGGTGTAGTTGAAATTTTTCCTAATTTTTTTTTAAAAAAATTTACAAACTGATTTTCTATGTTCAAAATATATCCAAATATGCCAAAAGTGTATCCATAATATGTTCTTTCATTTCGTGTTAGCTTATATGAAAATATTAGGGTGAACAGAATAAAATTATTTTAAAAAAAATATTTACAAAGTGATATCTATATATATACATACAAAATTCTAAAATTTGAGGATGGCCATAGGCCACCTGGCCCTAATGTCCCTCCGCCTCGGGTCGAAATCACTGGAGACTCTCCACAGGAGATTAAAACGAAGAACTTGCATTGTAATGAAGGGGTATAGCTTTGGTTCCAGATACACTGCAGGGGAAGAGAGATCGCAAAAGCTAATATGAAGAAGAGAGAGAGAGAGAGAAAGAGAAAGCAGTCACATCCAAAACGTGGGAAGTGACGAGGCATTTGGCGCCAATTTAATAAGGCTAATATGGTCATTTTACTCTTTCCGTCTATTAAGCAAGACGGACATCCTTGACACGAGAGATCAATGTTATTTCTCAAACAAGAGAGGGTCTAATTGCTATTTGACCAAACCTCAGAGAAAATAGATGTAATTTATCAAAAAAAAAAAAAAATGTCCTCGTAATAGTTATCCGTCGGTGCATATCAAGGGAAAAAAGAACCTGTCCTCGTTTGCTCCCTTAACACTTCCTAATTGTTTAGAAAAGTACAACAAAAAAAAAAAAGAAGAAAAAGAAAGCAATTACCTAAATAAAGCGTATCCAAAAAAGGGGTTAGGTAACTATTAGAACTAGTAGAGAAGAGGTAACCTACCCAGATCTCCACTGCATGCAGTTCAAAGAAGGCAGAGTTATGCATAAGAACAGGCAAACTATTTTTCTCTCTATGGACCCAAAAAATGTTTCCAAGGCTATTGGAAGCTGCTTTCTAGCAAGACAGACTTAAGTCCAATTTCAATTAGAAGTCACGTTTCCTTGACGTACTACATTGCCATACCAAGTTTTTCAGATTCTTCAGACCACGCCCAAACTTGCAGATTAACAACTTGAAGCAATTTCCCTTCGAGAAATTCCAGAAAAAGTTGAGAAGGAGAGGGAAAATGAAAAAAAAAAGATACAAAAGAAAACAAAAGCTGAAATTTTTATTGCAGAAACTATACGCTTGTGTATTCATGAACTCTGAATCGTAGTTTTTAAACCCGACCCGGACACTAATCCGACAGAGGGACCGGGTCAATGAGTTACTGATTCAACCGTGAGTCAAGCGGTCAAACCGATCATATAATTAATAATAATAATAATAATAAATATGCTAAAAAATTATAATAGTTACAAAAAATAACATATTTTATGTTATAGTAAATGAAATAAAAAGACAAAAAATATCCTCAATTCATTAATTTGTTTACATAATTGATATAATTTGATAGAGCATAAAATAATTCACTAAGAAATATTGAATATTTAGTATAAATACTTAAATAGTAATAATATGATGCCTAAAAAACCAAAAGAAAAATTGATAAAAAAGAAATAATGTGAATTTAAGTGCACTACTCTATCCCACATTGGCAACTCATTGGGAGTTATGAAGATTGTGCATCTATAAAAGACTAAAAGTATTAGTTTTCCAAGTTGCTGCTCTTGCTGGTCAAGACTTGATGGCTTGACGTCAGTTCTTTTGGATGAGATGAGTCTGGTATAAGCTTGGGCCTGAAGTTAAGTTTTAATATTTTATGAGTTTCAATGCAATGGGTTTGTTGGATTTGTGAAAACCGGACTGATTTTTTGGGTCTCATGAAAAATGACCGATTTTAGGCCGGTTTGAATGGTTCTCAAGCGGGTCATTTGTTAGACCGATCCAATTAAGGGACCGGCCCGGCTCAGGCACCGGTTCACCGGTTTTTCGGGTTAACCCGCCGGGCCAGGCCGAGTTTTAAAACACTGCTGTGAATAACTTAAGTGTAACACAAATACAACACTATGACATTTAAAACTGCAAAAATAACCACAAAATTCATATTTGCTGTAACAAACTTCAGTATTTATAATCTTTGAAGTTTTTCGTGAAGTACTTATAATCTTAAAAGTTGCAGCCGCTTTTACCCACCAAAATTTTGCTTGAACCACCATTACGTGGATCCCAAAATGCTGTGTCTTCGTACTTGGCCTATTTTGTCTGCAAAGTTATGGCACCCCATGTGAGGTAATCCATTCTCGTTCTTTATTCAGTTCTTTCTAGCCTTTTCACTTGCAGATTGATCAGCAACTCTTACCACTTGGTTTTCTCATCTTCATAACCTGATGCCCTTCCAGTTCTACCGGCTAAAATTGGCTCCGGTAAGGAACTTTTGCTATGAATGTCAAGACCGTGAAAAGATCGAGCGGCAAAATACTCGGCCCCAGATTTAGCTGTTCCCTTGGTAATGGATTGAAGGTCCTTATCACGGATCTGCAAAGCTTTTTCTGTCATATTCACCAAAGCAAGACCTCCATCTTCATCTTCCTCACCGTTCTCTGGTTGAAACAATCAAATAAATTAAAGAGACATGGCATAAATGCAAGAAAACAAAATGGACAACAATACGAGATGTCAAAAAAATATTTTTCCTTCATCCAATCTCATCCATAACAAAGTGGACTTTGGCCAACAGTGCATAAATGCATCAGGAAAACAAATTCATCAACAAATAATGGTCCAACACCCAGACGTACAAATTATACTTTTGAACAAAGTGTTGTATGACCTCGAAGAACAAAATGTCCAACTTGAATAGACCCTATCTGTAGGTATTAGACATAAAGGAAAAAAAGTAGAAGAGGAGGAAGAAAAACTAGGAATCACTCCCACACTCCCTTAGGAATCACACCTAGGCAAGGGTTGCTTCACACAAACCCACAAGAGGATTCAAAAGCTCTGACAATTTCTCTAGAACTGAACTCCATTCATTATGGAAGATTACATGTGTACTTATAGGCACCAAAAGATCTTCTCCTCCAATAACACTAATTCCAATTTAGAAACTAGAAAATCTTAAAGAGTCTAACTCGAACAATTTAAATTATGTGACGAAAAAACACAAACAAAACTCAGAATAAGACCCATGGGTACCTATTTCAACTCATTCCAGGAATTCTCCAAATTAAATAAATGCCACTGGCCCCTAAAAGCATTATTATTAATCTGAACTACTAGAACATCATCCAAATAAAAGATGGAATAGGGCTCCAAACAGACTCAATACTAAAGTATAAAAGTTTCGAGGTGGGCTTGTGTCATCTACCACCACATGCCGTATCAATGCTTGGCCTTGGAAGCAACCTTGACTAGTCATTTGCAAAGCCATGTAGAATGTTGCCACTGATCTCTATTTGTTCGAAACAAGTGGCCCAATCATGACACGCAAATTCCTATTATATCAAAAATTTTAAAAATGTTCTTAAAAATGAGAACGAGAGAATAACAAGAGAGAACTTCCTAAAAGAAATCAGAATAAATGAGAGAGAGAGAGAGAGTTCTAATATGAAAAAAAATCCTAAAATTTAAGAGTTTTATAAAGAAATTTATAATATAAAACAAAACAGGTTTCGATAAGTTCATTCGATGATCTCAAATAAATTCATTTAACAGCTATCAACATCTCTTTCAAAATCATTCACATTCTACTGTTTCTTAAATCACGGATTATCCCTAGTAATCTATCTATATTTATATCCATCTATATCTATAAAAGTTAGCATCTACGAAAAACTTTAGATTTATGATAAGGTCAATTACATCCACCTAATTTTTGTTTTTTTATACTTACTTGACTTTCAACTGGTTTTGAACTCTTTTATAAAAAAATTTCAAATTCTATTAGCATCTGATTTTCTATTTTATCCCTTATTATTAATTTTCTATTTTATCCCTAATTATTAAGATAAGGTCAACTATACCCATCTATTTTTTGTTTTTTATGCTTATTTGATTTTCAACTGATTTTAGACTCTTTTATAAAAATTTTTAAATTCTATCAGCATTTGATTTTCTATTTTATCCTTAATTATTATAATAAGGTCAATTATACCCACCTAATTTTTATTTTTTTATACCTATTTAACTTTCAACTAGTTTTGGACTTTTTTTTATAAAGATTTTTAAATTCTTTTGAACTCATTTATTAGTAATATAGTTACATATAATTATATCTATATAATAAAGTAGAATTAAGTTTAAATTTTAGAGACACAGAGAGGTCCAAATCATATAAAACATAAACACATCTAATAGGCAACATAATTTTAACATAAAAGACGATTCAGATCATCTCATAAATATTGATCTGACGATCTATAGTGAGTACTAAATTTTATTTTTCCGCCAAATAATAGAGTTTACTTTTTCAATTATCAGGCCAATTTTTCTGGCTGGCTCTCTCTCTCTCATGCCTTCCAAACTCATCCTAAAATCTCTTTTATGGATCCATCTTAATCGCGCTTCTGCCTCTCTCTCCCAATCTCAAATCTTCTGCCAATCTCAATTCCGAATCCCGTAATCTCACACTTGTATCTCTTTTACGCTCACCCTCTCTTTGTATCTGTAGAACACACTAATGAAGTGGATCTGGATGGAGGAGGGAGTCTTGAAGAAGGCGTTGTTGCAGATCGTTTATGGAAGCCGCAGAAACAATTGGAAGATCCGATTTAATGGTGGATTTGAGAGGCGATATTGAAGCCTCTATGACTGATAACTGGTACCTCCCTCTCTTTCTCTCTCGCCCCTGTCTCATTTTCTTTTTGTCTTTCCCTTGCACTTTTCTGTCTACCCACTTCGACGACGCACAAACCGTTAACTAGGACCGCCACCATCAACGCCATGCACCATCCCTCTCTCTCTCTCTCTCTCTCTCTCTCACAC